GGTGTTCCGATGAAGCTCGTCGAGTGGATCCGGGGCATGCTAGGGAGGCGTGTGATGACTTCGCTGGGAACTGCGAAAGTCTGTGGGTGGGTGGGAAGAGGCTGCCCGCAGGGCGGAGTACTTTCTCCACTTTTATGGTGCCTGGTAGCAGACGGTTTATTAAAGGCACTGGACGATAGAGGCTTCACTGCACAAGGCTACGCGGACGACGTGGCAATACTTGTGCGAGGCCCTTTTCTAGAGACGCTTCTAGAGCTCATGCAGGGGGCACTGAAAGTTGTAGAAGAGTGGTGTCAGAGGACGGGTTTGGCGGTAAATCCACTAAAAACCGGTCTTACTGTCTTCACTCGCAAATACAAGGTGGGCACCATTGTGGGACCCACTCTTGGAGGAGTAAGGTTAGTTCCGACCGAATCAGTGAAATATTTGGGAGTTATCCTGGATAGGAAACTGCTTTGGGAGGAGCACCTTCGTAACCGGTGCAAAAGCTTGTGCCAGTATTTTTGGATGTGCAGAAGGACCTTTGGCCAGACTTGGGGTTTGAAACCGAGTATGATACACTGGATCTACACAGCCATACTTCGCCCCAGACTCACATACGCAGCCATAGTATGGTGGACTAGGGTGCAACAGAAAACAGTCAAAGTTGCGCTGGAGCATGTCAGGGCTCTGATTTTGAGAGGGGCCCTGGGTGCTATGGTTACGACACCAGTAGCGGCGATGAGCGTAATGTTCGGCATCAAACCGTTTCATCAGGTGGTGGTGGCTGCGGCAGCAGTGGCAACATACCGCCTAAGATGCGAACTAAAATGGAAGAAGGGAGTCCGGCATACGAGGCTGCCGGAAGACGTTCTGTTGGATCCGATATTCGAGATGCGACAGGACAGAATACCTATTATTTGGGCTTCTGATAGGCGCTTTAAAGTGCATATACCGAGGCCGGAGGAGTGGGAAAAGGAAGGTGGAAACTTAGGGGCTCGAGTGCGTGGAGGAGATGTCTGGTATACGGACGGCTCCAAGACGGACACGGGCTCCGGGGCCGGCTTCTTTGGCAGTCGAGAGGGATGGAAGGAGAGCATTTCTCTCGACAGTTATGCCACGGTATTCCAAGCGGAGATTGTGGCTATTCTAAGCTGTGCTCAGACCGTGCGGAGTAGGGTAGAAGCGGGAGAGCACATCAGAATTTGTACGGACAGCCAGACAGCCATCAAGGCGCTAGGGACTCCGACAATAACGTCGCGGTTGGTTCAGGAGTGCAGAGGCGTTCTGAACGAACTGGCGAGAGAGAGAGAAGTCAC